CTGTGGAACCCCCCCCCCCCGGCCAGGCCCCCCCCCCAGCAGGCAGTCCTGCAGGGCTCTGTGCCCCCAGGAGGTGTGCAAATCCCCCCCCCCGCAGGGGAGGACCCTGGATGCTGCTCCTCTGTCTCCCACCAGGTCTGAGTCCGCCGGTCCCACACTCCCCCCCAGGGGTCTGGAGACAGGGAAGACCCCAGCACAAGAGGGCCCCCTGCTCCCCCCCCGCCCCGGACAAACAGGATGCTGCGAGAGAAGACAGAGGCAAGAGAGCAGAGCACACAGCCGTGGGGAGCGGGGCTGCCAGCTGAGCCCTCCCCCCCCCCCATGGAAGTGTGGCCGTGGGGGAGGGGAGAGCCCCCCTGCCCCAAGACAGGGGCGTTACTTACAGTGCAGGGCAGCTCTAGTGGGTTAAGGAGCGGGTCCTGCTGACCGGAAGCAGAAAGGCACAGAGAGAAGCGGACGGGATTAACACAGACATGGCCCCACTGGGGAGGGGGCTGGGCAGGGGAGGGGGCAGGGACCGCAGCAGTCACCTCACAGGGCACAAGTGGGGCTAGGGGCGCCACCCTCCGAGTCCTCCCTCACCCCCGGGGGCCAGGGCCCCCCCTTCCCAGCCAGGCCCCCGTGGAGGGCACCCACCTGTCTCTTGTCCTCGGGCGCCTTCAGGAAGAGGGCGTTGATCAAGGCAATCGCGTAGGTCTGGATCTCCTGGTTCGAGCTGTTGGGAGTGAGAAGCGGTGGTGGTGGTGGCAGCAGGGTGCGTGCGGAGAAACTGCCTCCCAGCCCCTGGAACCACTCCCTTCCCTGCTTCCTGGAGCGTATGGGCCAGGGGACACTCCCCTCCCCCCCCCCGGGGCCTCCAGTCCCGCCCCCGCTTCTCCTGTGCCCAGGCTGCCCTGCGAGGAGGGCCCAGGAGGGCTCAGTGGCAGAGCTCCTGCCCTGCGCGTCCACCGCCCCTTCCCGGCTCCAATCCCGGCAGTGTCAGGCCTCTTCCTCCGGAGCCCGGAGCCCCGCCACGGCCAGCCCGGGCAGAGCCAGACAGACCCAGCAGCCCGACTTGGCGGAAGGCAGCTCTGTGCAGCCGCTCCAGTGGCTTGGGGGGGGGGGGGCCCCTCCCACCCTGGGCTGGGGGCACGGCAAGGTCCTGGAGCCACGCGGGGCCCCTGGGGACACTCACACCTGCAGGTGGGAGATGAGCTGCCCCACCGTGATCTCCTCGGCCACCTTCTGGTACAGGCTCTGGCTGTTCAGCACCATGCTCTCCAGGATGGCCAGGGAGCGCTGCAGGATGGAGACGTCCACCGTGGGCTGGCTCACGTACCCGGCAATCTTTTTTGGGTGGGGGGGGGAGAGAGAAGACGCTGCTGGAGGGGGAGCCTGGAGCACGCCCGGCACCCTGCCGCTCCGCCCCCCGGGAGGCCCTCCAGCACCCTCCTCCCCCAGGCAGCCGCTCAGAGGTGGGGCCTCCGCAGAAGGAATGGGCCCCCGCGCCCGTGACGCTCTCCTCCCACGCGGCTGAAGCCTCCTCCCGCCGCCGCCGCCCTCGGCACCTGTTTGATGAAGGTGAGGGAGACCATGTCCCAAGACACGACGCCGTGGTCCATGAGCTCCAGGAAGGCCGTCAGGGCGAACGCCAGCATCTCGCCGTAGCTGCAGGGAAACACGCGGACCAAACCAGCCCTTGTGAAGGGCTGCCTGCAGCCCGGCAGCGGGAGGGCACAGAGCGGAGAGGGCTCCCTTCCCAGCCTGGCTTGTGGGTGTTCCTGAGCAAGTCGGGGCCTGGGGTGGGGCGGGGTCAGCGGCTGGCAACAGAAGAACGGCCCCCCTCCTCCCCCCACCTGGCACCCGGGGTGTGGCGTGGCGTGGCGTGCGGCCTCCCAGCAACCACAGGCGGGCAGGGTGAGGTGACAGATGGGTCCCTCCCCCCCCCCAGTGACCCCTCTCTGACCGTCCTCTCATCCGTTCCCCATCGTCTCCACCCCATCCGTGACTTTCTGGCTAGGAAACGTTGTGTTTCCTGAAACCTCCAGACATCGATCACAGCATGGCTGAGAGAGGTCAGGAGACCAGCCCGGCCCCCCACTCACTGGACCGAGTCCCCACAGACCCCGCAGGGGGGTAGGGGCGGAGGTGCCTGGAGTGAGGACGATGACGGCTGACTCGGAGCTTGCGGAGATGCTGGCTGACCCAGGCGAGCCCCGGAGAGGCATTCAGAGACTTCCTTGGCCACGGAGCCTCAGGTCCAAAACCGAGCAGACGGAACCCGGGTGAGAGGAGGAACGGGGATCCCCTGCCTCGCCTTGCCTCGCCCTCTGTGCTCCCCCCCCCCGGAACTGCACCAGGCGCAGACTCAGTCGGGTGTTCCTGCCAAGGGGAAACGGGAGCGCTCCAAAGCAAGCGGTTTGGGTCCCAGCCACTCCTTTGTTGCCGTAAAGGCTTCCTGCTTGAGCCCACCGGCTCCCACCAAGGCCTCCCTGTCTGCGCGTGGCTCGCGGCCCACACTTAGTCCCCAGGGTGCCGGGCGGGGCTCCCTGCGCTCCCCAGCTGCTCTGGCTCCACCCTGCGGCCGTCCTCCTAACCACCCCTCGCAGCCCTCGCGGCAGAGGCACGGCCAGATGACGGGGAAAGGTCTTCAGGCAGGCCGGCAGGCCGGCAGAGACGGCCAGGCAGCAGCCCCTGTCTGCAGACCTGACCTGTCTGAGAAGAGGCAGCCCTCCCGGCGCACGGGCCCCGGAACACGGAGGGCTTCCCCGGGAGAGCGGCAGCACCCGGAGTGGCACGCGTGGCCAGAGAGGCGTCAGACTGGCTCGGCGCTCCCACGAGCAGAGGGGCTGCTGCCGCCCTCCACCAATGGGAGCGTCTCTGCGGTATCTCCCAGGCAGCCCCATCGAGAGCAGGTCGCTGTAATCTAGCCGGGAGGGTTCCAGAGGGTTAGGGTCAGCACGGCCAGGCTGGCGGAGTCTTTCCAGGCCAAGGGAGCCTGCCTGCCTGCCTGCCTGCCGCGTATGGAGAGAAGGCAGGACGTCTGGCCACCTGGTGGGTCTAGACACTCCCCCGCCCCAGTCTCTGCCTCCCTGACCATCTTCAGGCCCGCCTTGTCAGGATCAAGTTCCAGCTGGTGTGCCCCCCCCATCCGCCCCCACCCACCTAAGAGAGGGGCAGAAGAGCCCCCCACGGTGGGAGGAAGGCCCCGTGACCCCGGGCGGGCGGGCAGGCACTCACTGGGACAGGAGCTTGGTGCCGCTCTCCACCAGGTGGGTCAGCACCACGATGCCGTCCATGTTGATGAACTCGGTGGCAAAGGTGACGTCCGCGGACAGCTTGGCCAGCTCCTTCATGGCCTCCAGCCGGGCCTCCATGCTGTGCGACTGGATCCGGTCCACCAGCTGGCGGGCAGCCCGAGACTGGGGTCGGGGGGGGGGGCTGAGAGTAAAGGTTGGACCCCGCCCCGTGGAGGGAGAGGGAGAGAGCGCCAGCCCGGGGCCTGGCAGCCCAGACGTACCGGGGAAACGGCCAGCTGCAGGATGGTCCCGTTCTTAATGTCACTGCGAGTCTAGAAGGCAAAGAGATGCAAGAGGCACTTGGAGCGGGCATTTGAAAGTCACTGAGTTAAACGCGGTTGGTCTCCCCCCCCCCCCAGACCAGGCCCCAGCCACCGCCGCAGGACTCCCTCTGGCCTGCCCCCTGCTGCGCCCGTGCAGAGGGGAGGAGGGAAGGCCCACTGACCTGCTCAGTTATGTACAGCTGGGGCCCGTCGGCATAGCGCAGCGTGTAGAACTCGGGGTTGGGCAGCGACCAGCTGGAAGGGGGAAGAAGAGCAGAGGAAGACCGACCTGTGACCCTCTGCGATGAAGCGGCCGCTCCCCGGTGGGAAGGAGGCCCAAGCTCTACCTCTGGTGGCGGGGGGGGGGCAGCAAGCAAGCAAGCCTCCCCCCCCCCCAAACTGGCTAGGCAGCCTCCATGAAGCCAAGTTCCGTCCCAGACTCACCCGTCGCACACTTCTTTGATGACGGAGGCCAGGGGCCGCTTCTGGAGGGGGGGGAGGAGGATGAGAGAGAGAGAGAGCCCTGAGCTAAACGTTTCCTGCAGATGGAGCCCCAGAGTCCCCCCCCACACACACACACACTTTGTCCACAGACCCACTTTGGTGCCACAAGCTGACTGCACCTGGCACCCCCCCCCCCCGGGTCTCCCGTCTCCTCCTCCAATCCCGGCTCTCACCTGGTCAATTTCCAGCAGCTGGGCATTGGCCCCTGGCCACTCCACAGCTACCTTGACGATGTCTGAGGGGGGCGGCATCTCTCCAGAGTCTCAGCTCGCTCGCTCTCCAAGAGGGGGAGGGGAGCAGGCCTCCCAAACCTGGTGGGAGAGAGGGAGAGGTGAGTCAGACCGGGCAGCCCGGAAGCAGAGCACCCGCGGAGCAGGGCGGAGGAGACGCGGGAGGTCCGGCACGACACCGTCAGGACTTGTGCTGGTGCCGGCCCAGTCTGGCAAGAGGCTGGGAGCTGCAGATACCACCAGAGAACAGCCTGAGCTAACTGGCACTCAGGCTGTCTGCCAAACGTCACTGGCTGGCACACGGACTGGGCACTGCCCTGGGATTTCGGGAAACACATGCCACAAGCAGGGCCAAAGAGGACTGCTGGGGACCGTTGCCCCCCCCTGCAACTCCAAGGAAACCAGGGCCAGAGGCGGGCCCGGGGGCGGTGGCATGAGCGGCAATTTCACCCCACTCCCAGGAAGGAGGGATGGAGTGCAAAGCCAAGTGGTCCAGAGCCTTCCACCCCCCCCCCCCCCGAGGCTCCCTTCTGCCCTGCAGGTAGGTGATGCCACCGTGCTTTCAGGAAACGATTCCCTCCCTTCTCAGCATGCGCCAGGGACCCAGGTTCCATCCCAGGCAGCATTCCTGACGGAAAGCACCAGGGCACAGCTGGTGTGGGAGACCCTTCTCTGCCTGAGACCCTCCGGGGAGGGGGAGGAGGGGAGAGAGAGAGAGCGCGCACAGACACAACTGACACCCAAGGCCGCTTCATGGATCCCGGACACTCTTCTGGGATTGGCAACAACAGCGCTGACAGAGCTGATGCTGGCCAGGAATGC